AATATAGTAAGAGTATTTTTAGGGACTATTGATGGATTGCTGTATTTGGAGCTTAACTTCAAGTGCCAAATGCCCCAGAGCTGACTAAGATGAACTCACCATTTACTGAAGACTGTATAGGCCATCAGGCAAATAAAAGGCTCTGGGGTTGCCAACACTAGATGTACGTACCTTTCCCTTTGTAGTTTTGGGGAGAATTCTTTTATGCTTTTTAGTAGCCTAATATGGTATTTTGATGAGGACTTTATACCACCCTCCTTGCTGGAGCCTAGTGTTATCCATTCGATAACTTCCCAGTCCTGGGATCACACAACTGTGAAATTCTAGGACAATGTTGTACAGCAGCGAATCAATTAATACTCCGTATCAGGAGTGCTGTGGTACACCAAGGCACTAATGACTCTGTGTCCTCCGAAGGCAGCCCCACAGAAGGCGGGCGCCACGTTAAGCTGTGCTTCTGTCAGCAAGCTGAAAGCTGTGGGTCTCTGACACAGCTCTCAATTGCTAGCAGGTTTCTCTCATTGCACCTCATTTGCATCTGGGACATCAATTAGCATGTTTGTTGAGGCTAATTGAATGAAACTCAATCATAGCTCTTAATTGCTTGACTATGTGAAAAGAAATCACATTAATGCAGCTAATTAAGTGTACGGCAATAGATGCAACATAATTAGGAGCGAAATGTAAAAAACAAGGGATGGCAAAGGTGCCGGCACAGGGTTGCAGGGGGACGGTGAGGCACAGTTACCAAGCGATTGGCGGGCTTCAGAACTGGTCCCTTTGCTCTGGCGCCTGCTTGGAAAAAATAATCCGTGTGATGAGCATGGACAACTTGAGAAGAAAAATGCAAATAGGTTTGCAATTACTACTTTTTCAAGCTGTTGAGGGGCAGGAGATAGCACCTCTGGGGGGCTTGGCTCTTGAGTGGGCCCCAGGGACTTGTTAAGTACTGTTTAAAAGTACTTGGCTTTGAATTACCCTCATGCCTTGTTAAAGGGCCTTTTCCTCTTTTATCTTCGATCAGCATTTTCAACAAGGAACTTGGAGAAGGGTGGTATCCGTAACATTTGCATATCAAAATCAGCCTTGCTGTCTTAATTTTACCCAGGTCCCTACTGCAGACCCATCAAGGGCCGGTGCATCTCACTTCTGAGGAAGACAACATTGTTTAGTGGTTGTAGCTCTGATTCCTCAAGTACCAAGCTGTGGAGAGATGAAAAGGATGAGTTTTGCAAAACCAGTGTAGTTTTTCTTGGGAGAAACTAGAAGCTGCAGATCCATGTGTCATTACTTCCCTCCCACCTGTGTATGCAGCGCTGGATTGGAGGGCTTTTATTGACCAGGAAACGCATTTTGCAAACTTCTGAACATTTTTAGTGGCTTGAGATATAAGAATTGCCAAATTTATATTCTGATGTTTTTAGAGCTAGTTCTTCTGAAGTTTCAGCGCCTCACATAACTCAGGCAAGAAAACAGATCCCCCAGCACATGCTGTGCTCAAGATAAATGTGTTCCCTTGCCGCATTCAAACCAGAGAGCAGACACTTGGTACATTTCTATAATAATTTTAAATAAAATATCCTGGTTATTGTATGTTAAAACATGCCTATTAAAGAGCCCATGCTGAGGCTTAGTCACTATCTGATTAGTCTCATTTTAGAGCCCATAAGCAATAAATGCTCAATTACACTCCTGTTATTGTATTTTAATTTGTTAAGAATTGGCATTAAAAAAGAAAGTTATAGCAAGTTGATATTTTTAAAGGAGTAACTATGCAAGAAGGAATTCATTACTTACAAGCATTAACTTTGGTTTTGAAACATGGATTTGCATATTTTCAGTGCGTATTAATGGAAGTAAATTAAAGATGCTTAAGAACAACCTTTAAAAAAAAAAAAACAAATGACCTACACTAAACAAATGTCACATTCTTCTTTGATGTGCTTTTTACTTGCCGTCTACAACATACTGAGCACAGTTGTGAGAGTTTCCATATTTCTTCCAGTCTACCTTTTCCTTCGATTTTTTTCTTTTTCTTTTTCTTTTTTTTTTAATGAGTTGGAGTCTCACTGTTACTCAGGCTGGAGTGCAGTGGCACAGTCGTGGCTCACCGCAGCCTCGACCTCTTGGACTCAAGCGATTCTTCTGCCCCAGCCTCCCAAGTGGTTGGGACTACAGGTACATATCACCACACCTGGTTAATTTTTTGTGTTTTTGTAGAGAGAAGGTCTTGCTGTGTTTCCTAGGCTGATCTCCAGCTCCTAGGCTCAAGCAAAGTGCTGATTACAGGTGTGAGCCACCGCGCCCGGCCTCAATCTCATTTAACAACAACCTTCTTTCCATCTTTAGTCCATATGGAATGTCCTCCTTTGAAAGAACTTTCTCCTTAGTCCTTTCAAAACTGCAGCTTTCTTTATATTTTGTTATATTTTGGGAAGTCAAAAATCTAGACTTCTATGTAGCATCTGCTGCCAGGAGTATGTGAAGTCAGATTTGCTGTTTCCAGCCTGGATACAGCCATTCCCTTCTCCAAACCCACAAGGATGACTATCCTCCAAGGTGGCCATGGCTGACACCAACAAGCCTGCCCTGCGAGCATCAAGGTGGCCCGGATCCTGTGTTATTGTCCTCCAAGCTAATGTCAGATACATGCGTATCAGAAGCACGCGTGTCAGGATTTTCTCTCTGGATGGTTTATCCTCTGCTGAGGAATGTCCTACCTCACCCCAGCCTCCGAATTTGCCCTATGATGGTGTGACTTTTGATCCTTTTTCCATTTGTCTTCAACCCCTGGTTCCAACCTCAACTTTTTGAGCTTTCAATCTGCACCAAGAGTTGGCCTTTTGGAGTTTGTCTTCAGGAAGTTCCTGTGGACCCTGAGACATCTTTTCCTCCTGGGGCTAGTGCTTGGTGAACTGCTAGCATTCTGTATTTCTGTCAGAATGTCTCCCCCAGTATGGCTGTGGCCTCACATTGCAGAGCTTCTCATCCCGCCCTGTCTCCTCTGTTGAAAATCCTTGTACTCTTTTTCCTCGAGTCTGGTTTGACTCTTATGCAACCCCCTATCCCAAAGTTGCTTGATTTGGGGGGAAGTCTGCACTGATGCCTCAGACTCAGCCTCCCTCCTACAGGAGGGGACAGCTTTTCTCACCCCCTGTCCTGAGGACCCACAGATTCATTCTCCTCCCCTGACCTGGATCTTGTCCTTTGGGTTTTGTTATGTCATTCCTTCTGTCAGCAAATATCCTGCTTTTTGGTAAACCAGTAAGTGAGACTCCTCAACCCCTCCACCTGCTGTAGCATGGACATTGTCCTGCCATTAAAAGATGGATGACCTATTTCTTGAAGCCACTGGGATTCTTCTTTGTCCTCTCTGCTGCTCTCTGTGATCTCTATAGCTCCCTCGATAACACTTTGGCCAACTTTCCTCGTCCCACAGATGAGGACCTCCAATCCCTGCACTTCTAGAACTTTATCCAGTCATCTCTGTATATCAGCTAACGGATTGGCAGTTACAGGCCACAGCCTACTCTTCCACCCTGCCTGGGTCCCTTGCAGCCAGCATGTGGGTTTGTTTGGTAGTTCTTCTAAAATCACATTGACCTGAGTTTAATCACTTACAACAAATACAAATTTATTGGCTTTAGACTCTGAAAGGAATTCACCAAGATACTGCCAATGAAATAATGTATTTATTCCCACTTCCTGTTTGGTCTTAAAACTCTTGAAATGTTGTTTATTCAAGAGTGATTTGGGATACAGTTTGTCATTCCAGTATTCATGGGAGATTGCCTCCAGGATCCCTGAGGATACCAAAATCTTCAGATGCTCAAGTCTCTTATGTAAAATAGCGTAGTATCTGCATATAACCTTTGAATATCTTCCCATATACTTTAAATCATCTAGGTTACCTAATGCAGTGTAACTGCTATGTGATTAGTTGGTATGCTATATTTTTTATTTGTATTTTTTTAATTGCTGTGTTTTTTTAATTGTCCCCCCCTCAATATTTGCAATTCAGGATTAGTTGAATCTGCCAACTGGACAGAACCCGTGGATAGAGAAGGCTTTTCTTAATATGTGATGGCAATTAATAGGTGTCCAGAGTGCTTAAAATACTGTGTTTGCAGACAAGGAGGCTTGTTACCAAAGAAATTAATAGCAATAATGAATTAAAGGACCAGGAGCTCCTTATTAGCCACCAGGCCCCTCACCTGGGCTTTCAGTTGCCCTTTCACCTTCTCCCTTCCCTGTCCATCAGCCAATTCTTAGGTAGTGTTGTACTCCACAGTGAGTTGTTAAGTGACCTGCCTGCCCACCCAGGCTTCCCTATAGTTCATTGAGAACGACTAGTCATTTGCCCTCAAGTCATAGATTATTTTTCCTAGTGCAGTGAAACTGAGTGCCAAATAAAGCACTTTTTTGAACATGTAGCTTTTATACATCCATCCCTGAGCTCCGTATTTTTTTGATACTGTGCCATCCACCTCTCAAACAACTTCCTGGTCCTTAATAAAATGCATCATGTTTACTTCTACAGTTTTCACCCAAATTCCCAGCAGACAGCTTCATCTAGATATTTAATGGTATTCCATCTGAGACAGAAAGGTTATTACAAACTAGTTTTCTACTTCATGAAATTTTATCTAAAATTTACAGGAGTCCAGGTTCCTAATGTGCCATCTAATAAGCAAGAGTTCAAAAAATATTATTTTATGTATACACTTATTTTCTAAACCCCTTTGAAGGAAGCATCTACTGCGTCTCCTTGGATTTTTTGTTCCTGGATTAGATCAGGACACAGAAGCAGCAAAATTCTGAGTTAAGTATAATGATGATGCCACCAGTATTATACAGATCAAAACCTCATTATTTTAAAAGTGCTTTCCACAGTGGAAGAGTCATAGGATTACAGTTCATAATGTCTGATAGAACCTTTTGTTCTAAATTGTAAAAGGTCTTCTTTTTAATCTCTCTTGGATGTTTAACATTTTGAACAGGATTACATGCAGAATGTTCATGGTAAAGAGATTGATCTTCTGAGAACCACTGTGAAAGTCCCAGGGAAGAGGCCACCTCGAGCCACGTCGGCCTGCGCACCTATCTCCAGCCCTAAAACCAATGGCCTATCCAAGGACATGAGCAGTTTACACATCTCACCCAATTCAGGTAAGCTCACAACAGACCCACCAAGAAATCAAGTTCAACAGCAACAGATTCTGCTGGCTTGAGAACACTCTTTAGGTTAAGTGGAAACATTAACCATTACATTAGAGGTTAAGGTTTAGAAATGTTATTCCTTCTGTGGCTGATCACTTCCTCCACACCTTTAGGTTCTGCAAATGGTGGCACCTTTGAGTCACAGCTTCGTAAACCAAGCATCTTGGCCTTCCCAGGGCTGGGTAGTTGAAAGTAGAGTTTTACATGTGAACTGGGCATTTAAGGGCCTTCCACAAAACAAAATAAGTGTCAAGGATTAACTAGTTACTGGTAACTGTGTGTATGAAAGTGGAAAACCCATTTTGGAGAAAGATTCAAAGGAAGCCATTTGACCTATACAAAAATCTCAATCCTCTCAGTCTTATATTTTGACTATCATCTGTCCTTCTTTAATGCAACTTTAGTTTTCTTTATTCTCTTTTTAAAGAAGGGGGTTTTTTTTCATTCAGGATTTTAAAAAGATAGTTTCTTCTCAAAATTGGATGTATTTAGTAATTCCTAGTCTTTGTGCCCAGTTGCAAGCTATTCAAAGTGTCATTGTTCACTTTTGTTTGAGTCTTTTGTCCTGTGGCCTTAACCTTCCTATGACCACTTATCAGAGAAAAGGTATTAAGACCCCCCCTGAGTCCTCCCATGAGCACACTCAGACTCCTTCAACATATAGACTACCTTCAAAAATTTTTGTTGTTTTCCCCACAAAAGTCCATTTCTTCTCTCCCACCAACATCCAGTCTTCTCAAAACAGATTTCTGTTCTGTAATAGTTTCTAGCATGTATCCCTATTTCTTAAAGATGCCGTATTTTCCCTCTTCTGAAATGTTAAGTGCTTTTAAAGAGGAAAAACTGTAAGTTGACCATACAATTCTGTGGCACAAACAACATTGGTTGGTGAAAGCAGGATGATAAAAAGGAGCCAGAATTTGGGATCCACCATCCTGGCCTCCACCACACAGTGTTAGGCAGGCCGCTAAGCTGGTTCTTTACCACTGCGTTGGACTGATCTTGTTTGACCTGCCTGTGTTGCTGAGGGGTGATGTCAGATAACACCTGGAAATGCTGGGCAAGCCAGGCTCGGTGGCTCAGCCTGTAATCCCGTGCTTTGGGAGGCTGAGGTGAGTGGATTGCCTGAGCTCACGGGTTCAAGACCCGCCTGGGCAACTTGGTGAGACCTCATCTCTACAATAAATCAAAAAATTAGCCAGGCATGGTAGCACACACCTGCAGTTCCAGCTACTTGGAAGGATCGCCAGAGCCCAGCAGGTCGAGGCTATGGTGGCCAGGAGTGGCTACTGCACTCCAGTCTGGGCGATAGAGTTGAGAATCCAACTCAAAAAAGAAAATGCTGGGCAAGTGGTATAGTCTGACACAAGTGCTATTGTTAACTAATTGAAATAAAAATTGGCTTACTGCAAGAAAAAAATGACTTTCAGTTCCTTCCAAAAAGGTGAGATGGTTGTTTTGCATGGTCTCCCATGACCTACTGACCTTTCTTCTAAGATATCCATGTGATTTACCTTGTCAGGGTGGTATGCTAACTCTATGGAATGGGAAGAGAAAGGAGTACACAAGAAAGAAAAAAAATGTGTAGTGCATAAAAAATGAAAGGTTTCATTATTTTATTACATTATGTATATATTCATTTATTAAAAAAAAAAAAATCTATTGAGTCCTTATTTTGTGCCAAATGGTGTGTGCTGGGAATACGGAGTCCCTGACCTCTAGAATTTCTGTGCAGGGCCAGAGAATTAGCTAAACCTTCTGGCAAGCTAATTTTCCACTTCTTCTCCTTCCCATATCACATCACATGTACCCATTTATTTCTTCAAGTCAACACACATTTATTGAGTTTCTTTTCTGAATTTATATTTTAATTGAGAAATAAACATTATATACATATATACACACACACACACACACACACACACATATATATCATTAACAGCATGATGTTTTGAAATATGTATTCATTATGGAATGGCTAAATAGAGCCACTTATTGAATTTCTAATGTATGCCAGCCTGAGCCCTGGGAACACAGATGAAAAAGACATAATTCCTACCCTCAAGAATTTTACCCTCTTGTGAAGGAGAAAGACAAGTAGACAAATGCAGTCCAGTGCAGCAGGCTGAAGGAGGGATACAAAAGGTGGGGGCGGGGTGTGGAGATCCAGTGACAATATGGTTGGCTCTACCCCAGGAGATGGGCCCAGGCTTCAGGGTATAGGAGATGTCTGTGCTGGGTTTGAAGAAAGGATAGGAATTTGCCAGGCACACAGGATGAGGGAAGAGCTCCAATTTTATGAAGCAGTGTTCAATATGTAAAATTAGGATTTTGAACTTCCTAATCTTGAGACTTACGTTCTTTGGTGTGGAACGCCACTTGTCCTAAGGAAAATATAATATGTGATTAAATAGAAAATACAAAAGATCCTATAAACAGTACCACGTCTCATGGAGTAGGTCATAGCATGGACTTCTCCTTTGAGGGAGTGAGGTGTGTGTCCTTTCAGTGCCCAGTTTCATTCTTTTTAAGATCCTTACTATTGAATACATGGGAGGGTTGGGACACAATTTATTTCCCTTTTTTGTTGTTGCAGCCCTCAGTATATAACAGCAAATCTTTCCAATCCTCAGCTAGGTTAATCCTATAGAGAGAGCCTGGTTGATTTTCCCTTTCTTTGGATCCCAGGTAGGGGTGTGGAAGTGGGGTTATGACATGAGCAGGAGCAGTATCACTTTGGGAGAAGAAAATGCCTCATGGTCATGACAGTGCTCAGGGACATGGCACCCTGACCAAACATGCAGGTGAGGTCATAGGCCAGTGTCCAGGAAGAGTGGATAGACCCTCAGATAGTCACTCCCTGTTAGTTTCTCAGCTTAGTTGTTGGGTTATGAGACTAAGCCATGGGAGGAGGCACTTCTGTAAAAGGCAGCTACTTCAATAAAATAATGTGAAATTTTAATTCACATTGACCTCCTCTAAACATGAATGTATCATCTATAAGATGATACATTCTTTCTTAAGAAATTAAAGCATTTGGGAATTTGAGTCTTTATACTCTAAACTATTCTCTAAAAATTGAGTTTCCTGTATTTAAAATCATTATTTATAAAATGCTCTCTCATGTGAGGAATTCCCACACAACAGATTTAATCTGTCATAAATTGATGCTACATTGAAATGACGGACATGATTGCAATCCCTTTCTGTGGTCACAGCCCTCATTGTATGATGGCACATCAACCTTCAACCAGCTTAATCCCAAAAATTAATATCTAAAAATAGGTATTAATAATATTAGAGCTATTTTCCCAGAAAATTTAATGTGTTACTTAACCTTATTCTTATTCTTCACCTTGGACTTACTTGAATTCTGTTTTGTTTCAGACATCTAGGCTAACTGGAGACTTTTGTTTCTTTTTTTTTTTTTTTTGAGTTGGAGTCTCACTCCGTCACCCAAGCTGAAGTGCAGTGGCATGCTCACAGCCACTCCATCGCTGACCTGCTGGGCTCCTGGCCACTGCAGCCTCGACCTGCTGGGCTCCGGCGATCCTTCTGCCTCACCCTTTCAAGTAGCTGGAACTACAGGCATGCACTACTGTGCTCGGCTAATTTTTAATTTATTGTAGAGACGAGGTCTCGCCAAGTTGCCCAGGCTGGTCTTAAACCCGTGGGCTCAGGAAATCCACTCGCCTCGGCCTCCCAAAGTACTGGGGTTACAGGCTGAGCCACCAAACCCAGCCAGTTGTCTTTTTCTTATTGATATGGAAGAACTCTGTATATTTAGGATATTAATACTTGTTAATACATTTTGCAGATACTTCCCCAGTTTATTATTTGCTTTATAAATTTTACATATAGAGGTTTTCACCTTTTTTCATTTATAGTCAGATCATTTAAGTCTTTTACCTCTATGGTTTCTACTTTGAGTTATTTAGAAAGCCTTTAATAATCCTAAAGTCAGATTATAATTCAGATATGTGTAGTTCTAAGTTTTACAGTTTCATTATTTTTTAAATTTATTTTTTTATTTTTTGAGTTGGGATCTCATTCTGTTGCCCAGGCTTGAGTGCAGTGGCATGATCATGATGATTACAGCTCACAGCAGCCTCAATCTCCTGGACTGTCAGGAGACCCTTTCATCTCAGCATTCCCAGTAGCTGGGACTATAGGCACAGGCCACCACGCCCAGCTAATACTTAGGTTTTTTTGTTTTGTTTTTTGAGTTGGAGTCTCACTCTGTTGCCCAGGCTGGAGTGCAATGGCATGCTCATGGCCACCACAGCCTCGACCTGCTAGGCTTAGGTAATCCTTCCACCCAAGCCTTCCAAGTACCTGGAACTACAGACACGTACCACCACACCTGGCTAATTTTTTTGATTATTGTATAGATGAGGTGTTGCCAAGTTGCCCAGGCTGATCTCCAACCTGTGGGCTCAGGCAGTCCTTCACCTTGACCTCCCAAAGTGCTGGGATTATAGGTGTGAGCCACTGCACCTAGCCACTTTGATTTTTTTTTGTAGAGATGAGGTTTCACTATTTTGCCCCTAGTGAGCTACCACACCCAGGCCTTTTTCTTCTTTTTTTTAATATACTTAACCCTTCCCTAATTCACATTTAATTTGTTTGGGTCTACTGTGCATCACAGGAAGTCTAAAATTTCTTATTCAAATAAATAATTATCCTTTTTCTCTTTGTTGTACTTTTTTCCTTCTGTTAATTCTGTATGCCCCATTTGTTGTACAACTGCACGATTTAGTAAAATTGGCCGTATTTCTGGGCTCCCAAATCTATTCAACTGACCTACTATCATCACATTGTCTTGCCTTTTGTAGATTTACCACAATGTATTAGATATGACTCAGTTTATATCTAGTAGTATAATATGGCTTAATATCTCTCTTTTATCTTCCAGTTTTTCTTGGCTGTTGTTACTCATTTATTTTTTT